AAGTAAAAGCATACATTTGTGCACAATTTTTAAGTATGTATCCTCTTCTGTCAGTCCTACACTAGTTCTGATGGAGGCATGCTGTGCTTACTTAGGAAAGAGGCCTCTGGGGACTTGTTTGCATTGTGTGATATTTGAATTTATTTACAAATGTACAGGTTGACAATAGGTTGAGGCATGGCTGAAAATGTTCCAATAGACAGCCAAAACCAACTGCTGCTACATTAGATACCCAGGGAGACATTCACCACCCCAAGATGTTTGTGGTGCCCTAAACTCATTTCTCTCTGTCCACCTCTTCTGATCTACCACCAGCTGCAGCCTATGTTTGCACTCAATGATCTTGCCCAGTATGGGGAGGGGGAATCAAGATGAGTGAGAGTAGCTTAGTGAGAGTAGCTCAGTTGGTAGAGCATGAGACTCTTAATCTCACAGTCATGAGTTGAAGCCCGTTGGGCAAAATATTCCTATATTGGACCAGAGGACCCTCATGGTCCCAACTCTACAATTCTATGATTCTATAAGTAATCTCTTCTGACAATCAATCTAGCCTTCTTACGTAACACAGAGACTAGTCAGCAGTACAAAAAGACCACCAACCATGTTTTGTCAAGTCTGGGTATTACCTCAGGATATTGTCACCCAGCCCTGCTTACAAAGGTCTAATAGGAAAGCCATAATAAAATAAGCCCTATTTAGGGCTCTTCCATCCACACTTCCACTTGTCCCGGCGCTTTCCACCAGGGAATTTTGATTCAGTGGTAAAGAGTGGGTTTTCCTGGGGAAAGTAGTGGGACAAACAGAAAACCACTTGCATTCACACTGAGAAAGCACAGGACAAGCTGAAAACATATTGGACTTGGGCTTTCTAGCACGTGACAAGTGGAAGTGTGGTCGTTCACTCAGGGGAGTGAGGAGAGTGGAGACAAGCGCAATGGCTCATTGGTGTCTCACGAGTTGGCAGGAGACTGGCAGGTGGAGGCACACTGGCATCTGTCTGTACCGCATTGGTGACACCTACTGTAGGGTATGAGGGTCCAGGAGAAGCACCAGTGTAGGAAAGAAACTTTCTGAGAGTGACAAAACTCTAAAGCTACAGTGTCTCTCAGCAGGAACTGAGCAAGTCTGAGAGCTTCTGGAGCAGTACATTTCAAGGAATGAACCCAACGCCTTCTACCGAGCAAAGAGGAATTATCTGACTAATATTAGCAATGCAAATACGGAGCATTGCTTCATACTGAAGGAACAAAACCTGCCATTGTTTCAAAGTTAATTAGACTAAAGAGACAATAAATTAAGTCTTATTAAAATGTAAAAGATCTGTGACAAATTGTACTAATTGCATTTTCTTATATCTGAAGAGGTCAGACTACTTAATAAGCATGTTGTTAATGGAAGACAAATGTAGTTTTATGCGCTTGATAGGAATATTATAAATTACATTATTTATAACTCCTGTGGAACACTTAATAATTTTAAGCTTTAAATTAAACTGCTCATTAGCAGCACAGAGTCATGAAAGTAGGCTGTAAGAACCTGCTGCCAATGTAATATTAATTTGAAGGTCTGGTCCATTCTGGCAGTAAAGTGATATTATTTCAAAACTACTTGAGTACTAGGAAATTTGAACTTTGACTTTGTCATCTCCTTAACTACGAATCATAGAATGCTTTTATGTTTCAGAAATCAGTATAACACAAAAATGCCCATTTATTTATTTATTGGAAGTCATGCTTGTGTTGTAAAGGGCAAGATGATTTTTAAATATTAATTAGAATTAGTGGATGGTCATTTTTAGTGAGGTATTGCTGTTTGTAAATGTATTTGTATGGTTTTCTATTTTGGAGAGCAAGGAATTAAATAAATGAATAGATAACTAGTAGATTCATGAATAAATAAACTATAGAAAACCCAAATAGCAAAATAATATAAAAAGGATGGGCCCTGCAACAAAAAGTTAGGGTCATTCCATTTCCCCACCTCTTGGTTTTCTACCCATGCAATAGTCAGCATTCCATGCCTACTGAGCATGCTCAGTACTCCTTTAACTGTTTTGGGTTAGTTTTGCACCTCACTCCTTTGCTTTGGGGAGTACTGTATTTCTTTAGAAATTAGGTGTTTAAAAGTTAAATTCTTCATTTTCAAAGAAGAGACATTTGCATTAAGCAATAGGTTCCACTCTAGGCGAAAGTTGAAGGCTGGTTTTTTAAAATAAATAAATCACAGGCTTAGGCCACCAGATGACTCAGTGCTGGAAGACAGAGCTGTAGATCTCTCATGCCAGGAGAGGAAACTTGAGAAGTCAGTGATGGCTAGCAGTAGCAGCAGCAGATGAAGCTAAGCTCTGTAATGATGAACAAGCTTTGTATTTTGTTCTTGAAACATTTGTCTTTATGCGACTAGTGTCAAAACTGTTCTGTAGTGAAGCTTTGATACTTATTTTAGGGGCAGAAAGCTCATTTATTTCTATATAAGATCAGGAGCAGGGATTCCACAGGGCAACTCTAACATGAGGTACATAGTGGATTTTGGAAACTGATTTCTGTGAGCAGCTTTCATTGGTAGGACATTGAAAAATCATTTCTCAGAATGTATGAACCCAGAAATGATCTAGCCAGTCAGTGAGATGCTCATTTCATCCCAAGAGTCTGTGAGAGCATTCCCATTATGACACAAACTAGATATAGGCAAATATACAAAATTGTAGCTGTTCACCCAACCTTCTGCCACCCCAGAATTTCCTTTTTTAACCCCCCCCCCCCCAAAAAAACACTGTACGTGTCTAAACCATCCTTGTACCTCATATGAAACTGTTTTTCATTTTAACCATCAGCCATTAATTACCTCTTTAACTGTTTCTTGCCAGTCTTGTGGTCAGGTCACATTCCACCTCGTGCACTTTTTATTCCTCTGTAAATGAGTAGTGCATGTGGCTTTGTGGCAGGGGGAAAATGCTAAGTATTAACCTCATGTTCCTCCTCTTCTGCACAGTCTAGTTCAACTTACCTTATATCCTGACATCATTTGGATCTATGTTCCCTGCCCTGCTAGCTGGCTAGTGATGTGGAGCAGGGTGTGTGTGTGAAACATATGTCATAATAATACATTTTTTCCCCAGCCTGCAAATAGTGCAGAGCTAACATTTTAAAGACACTCACTGCTGTCTTCATCTATCCCTTTCTCATGATGCTGCCTGAAGCAGATTGCTTTTCTCTTCTGTATGGCGGGGGCAGACCAGTACAATATCAGAAAACAGGGTAAATCTGAACTGATTTATGTTTAGATTTGGAATCTGCATTCCTCTTTGAGAGACATTTATTTAAATGTCTGAAAAAGGCACATATTGCAGAGTACGAACATCCTGAGGACTTCCAGATTTCCTTCTGAATAGCATAGTGGGTGGGGCAGGATTGTTGGGGACGTGCCAAAGCCAATGTGCTGGAAGAAGCCCCTCTGCCAGTTACTGGAGTGTCCTGGCCTGCTCTACTTTCTCCTCCTATTGCTATCTGTTCACCTGCCCACTTCAAGTGAGTAAGGAGTGAGCAGAGCAAGGAATAACAATAACCTTCACAGATCGTCTCACTCTAGTCTTTGTGTAGATTGGAATCAAGTAAATCAGCAGGAGCAACAATGGTGAGAAGAATCTGAGCACACTTAGGGGGAGGGGCCCTGAAGGTTATTTGCCCGGGGGCTCCCTAAAACCTGGAATAAGCATTAGTGGTGAAGACAGTGGACTATTTCACATGACCCGGTAAGTCAAACTGTGGCTTACTTGGTCCATGTGAACACCTGGGCTCCCAGACGTCTGCTTTGCCCTTGTCTGGTCTTTTTTTTCCTTTTCTTTTTAACTCTCACACTGTGCTGAGCTAAGTCATGGTTTGGCATAGCATGCCATCTGGACCCTTGACTACAACTTGCTGTTAGTACCGCAGGCCTGGGTTTGGCTGACAACCTAAGCCAAACATTGGCTTAGCTCAGTGTGGCACAGGAGTGAAAAACAAAGACCAGGGAGGAGCAAAGAGACTCTGGGGTCCTCTCTGGGAATGTGGGAGCACCCTCATTCATGCAATCCTGGTCAGCCATAGTTTGACTTACCATGTCATGAGAGCCAGAACAGTTTAAAAGCCAAATAAAAGAAAATAAAGCCTCTAGATAGTGTGTGTGGGGGGAATCTGTGATATTAAAAGCTTAGCAAGGCAGATCCACTGGAATACAATAAGCCAAAGATCACAATAAATTCTCACAATATTGTCTCTGAATCACGAAAGGAAGAAAGGTAGATCCACTTGTCTCCCAGGATACAAAATTGTGCTCTCCTGTGGAGACCGTATCAAAGTGGTTTTTGCTCAATAGGTTTGGGAGACAAGTCATTTTTCTTTGTTGACAAAGTGGTTCATTTGGTCACTTCTATCATTCATTTTTATGTATTGCCGCTACCTCACTACACTTTCTTTGGAGTGAAGAATGAATGAGCAAGTGAATGAACAAATATCCAGACTCTAAGGGTATATGTATAGTATTTGACCTTACAAGAAGGCTGAGCTTTGTGCTTTTGGAAAAAATGTGTCAAAAGACATTAAAAATAATTGGATTCAGCTCAAACAGCTCTTCTGAAAAGATTCCAGCCAGCAGTGGCCTAGAGACGAGTCTTCTTAGAGATTTAACAAATCCAGTTGGCACCTAGGCAAGTTCCTTTGTATTGAACTCAGTGTATCTTTCAGCTATTAAATGGAGAACCTAGAGAGGAGAGCCAAGAATGTTATGAACAGTCACAAGTGCCTGAAAGCCATTCTAAAGTCACTGAAGCATAGTCACATAACCACAGCAATCTGGTGGCAACATTTCTCCTGTGTTGTAACTGGTTACATAACTGACAAAGCATATCTGTAGTTTGGGTGATTTGCATAACTCAGCACCCATCAACACAGGGCTCTTTGTTAATGCTGACATCATACAGAAATGGCTATGACATGCTTCAGGATGAATCTGAGATATTGTGTGAAAGAAATTCCTAAGTAACTGTGAGACCTCTATGCCATGATATGCCATTTATTTAGGACCAGGATGAATACACACAGTAAGCATATTCTGCAATCAAACCCATGATTGGCTTGAGACAATTAAGCTGCAGCCAACTACACAACAGGGCCTGTATTCAAGGAATTTTTATGGTATGTCTATTGATGTAAAATGTGAGACATGAGCTTCTTTCTTCTGAAAGAACCCCTGTGCTTCCCCCTCCTTTTCTCTATTTTTTCTCTGCTTTCCTTCCTGCACTTCCTTCTAGTTAAACTTTATGCTCCATATGGTGTTTCCTCCTAGACATTATCCATACATCATATCTATAGATCTATATATCCCATATTTCTTTTGCACGCTCATCTCAACATATTTCTCATTCTCTGTCCTTGCCCCTACTTTTGTTCTTATTTCCGTCTTTGGAGTGTATGAACATTTCTGCTTGTTTTCCTTCTGTCTTGTGACTTCTGACCCTTGTTGATTTAGAAATGCTGTGCAATGTGTAGTACATTTTTGGTGCTGTTAGAAGTATTAAATGATGCTATTGGTTTAAATATATAGTGCAGATTGGGCCTAAATGGAATTTCTCTGTCGTGGCTAGTACTTAAGTTTTGTGAGAGATGGAGGCAGAAGCAAACTCCAAAGAATGACACATACAGCATCCCTAGTGGTCCAAGCATGCAGTGGGCTTTAGATAGTGGCATTCACAAAACTCCCCTGACACATTCAGTGAATATATAAAGTGGAAATGGGAGCAGAGTAGCTGGCCACATTTCTTCCACTCTGGTAGGCTCACTGCATGCACCGCCAAATGGCGTTGAGCTTGGAATTATTTAGAATGGGACCTTTCACAGAAAAAGATGTACAGTGGTACCTCGGGTTAAGTACTTAATTTGTTCCAGAGGTCCGTTCTTAACCTGAAACTGTTCTTAACCTGAAGCACCACTTTAGCTAATGGGGCATCCTGCTGTCGCCACACCGCCGCTGCACAGTTTCTGTTCTCATCCTGAAGCAAAGTTCTTAACCCGAGGTACTATTTCTGGGTTAGCGGAGTCTGTAACCTGAAGCGTCTGCAACCTGAAGCATATGTAACCCGAGGTACCACTGTATTCAGATAGAACTCTTCTACACAGTTATGGACTTGGCCAATCAGGGCAGATTTCCCACTATGGCTGAACTCATTGGGGGAAGTGGCAGAAGATGCATCGTTATGAAGGGAGTATGGCTAGGAGGCACACTGTGGCTACTCCTGTGTGTGTATGTATGTGTGTGATTCATAAAATAGACTTATGAACTTAAACCCACCTTTTGAACCACAAAATGACCAACAAAACAGCTTGCATCCATAAAAAATGAATATAAACAGACAATAAAACATGTTGTGATATCACTGGACACATCAATAGAATTATATTTACATTCCTTTTACAATCTACTATCTCAATCTTCTCAAAGAAACTCTGTTGGAAGTTTAGCTGGGAGCCAAACTGAGGCCATTTTACTCTTGGTTCTGAAGCACTGAGTCTTCAAACAAATAAAATATTGATTTAGAAGCATTTAAAACTAGTTCATTCTGAACCCCTTGCTTCCACATTGGTTTTGAACATAAGCTGAAATGGGTTATATGTCCAAGTGGATCCCCAGGAAGTGGTTTGTTTTAATGTTTTGATGTGGCAGGGTCTCTCTCTCTCTCCACACTGGTGCATTCTGTGGGGACTCATATTTTGAAAATGTGCTTTTTAAAAATACTGAGCTGAATCGTTCTAAAATTCATGGTCTGTAGGTGTTGCCAGAATGAAATTAATCCAGTGCCTTTTCGAGCCTAGTATCATTTATCTGTGTTTTCTTGGGTCTTGCTTCACTGCTCATGCTTTTTGCAATATACTCTTCTTGATTAAAGAGAGAGGCTAAAATAATCTTTCTGATTAGTTCAAATAGACAAGAGTAATGTCTAATTCTATTTAAAAAATAAATCTATTGATATATTTTGCAATGGTCTGATGGTGTCAGAAGATGAATTATGGTTATTAACTGCAAATGTACTCATGGAGAATGTAAAAGGTTTTTTAAAAGAAAGAAGGAAGGGAAAAAAGGACATTGAAAAGATACCTAGAGAGCTCATAAACAATATGATTCATTTTCTGATTGCTCATGTGCTCTCAGTCATTGATAAAAATATTGGATTTTAATAATCTAATCATAATTTTAGATTATTTGTTCTTCAGGGCAGTTAATTAAACATGTGCTTAACTTAGAACATATCGGTCAGCATCTAGCACAAAATTATGATCCCTTAAGCCCCATTGATTTCAATGAGACGTATGTGCACATGACTGTGCATTGGATTGCACTTGCTTTCTATAATCTACCAGGAACTTCTTGGGTGCAAGCCTCATTGCAATGAATGGATGTTGTGCATTCAGTCATCCATTCATTTTAATGGCAGAAATTCACAAATTAACTGTGTCCATTGGCTTTGAAGAGATATTGATTGCCAAACACACCTGGCAAATTAAAAGCCAGGAGACTTATAATAAAGCTTAATGAAACCTTAGCTTTTATCTACGGACTTACAATTTTAATTGCAGCAGCCTGGTTTAGAATAATTCACTCTAACTAGCCTCTTAAGATATTAATTTATTTTGTTATATGTTAATCTTGCAACCTGCCATCCTGGAGTTCAGTGTGGAATATATGGTCCCCTTTCACTTATTTTTATCATCAGAAAAGGTCTCTAATGGAGGTAGCCAGAGAATTTGTTAATGGTCAAAGGTCATCCAGTGAACTTCATGGCTGAAAGGTGCCTCTTCTTACTTCTACCCAGGCTCAAGTTGTATACCTGTTAGGGCTATGCATCAGCTCCCTGTGTGCCATGAATAACAAGGCAAATATTGGCTGTAAGTCCTGGAAGAGCTGTTCCCTGCCTTGCCTGGGAGGGTCGGGGCTCTGACTGACTCCAGCTACAAAAGCTGCTGAACACACTCTTGGTCTATGGTATTGTTAGGGTGTTTTGTTTGGGTGTTTTGTTGTTGTTAATGATATTAATTTACACACACATATATATATCTTATTGTGATTTATGTGGAAATTGTTTCAACCTGGTTGTGCACTTTTTTATATGTTTTATTTATTGTTTATGACTTTTGTTATGTTTGTGAGCATGTATATCTTATGTTGTAAGCTGCATTGAGCATGGTTTTAACTATGGAAAGGCAGCATACAAATAAATGATGATGATGATATTGGGATGATTCACATTTCTGAACCAGATCATGTCATTAAGAAGATGTCTTGAGGTGGATCAGGGACTCTCCATTTGGCAGTGTCTCTGTGGCTTTGACTCTCAAAAAAACCACAACACCATTTTTTTTACACCCACCCACACCTGAGAGACAAAACCAAATTGACCTGAGAAGGGAAGAGGTGGGAAGGAGAGGTGGAAACTGCTTTGTTTCAGAGGGCACTCATGGGTATGTTAGGATATTTCCGTTCCACCTTAAGAAGGGAGCAGGTTGTTGTGTCACAGCCTGCGTATTTCTTGTTCACAGGAAGTTTATGTTTTGTACATTGCTTTCGTTTCTCTCTCTGTGTCTGAACACACAGGCAGGCAGTCATGTTTTTTCTTTGTTCTGACCAACGCTGAATAAACTTGTAAATATGCTCTCCTGAGTGCATCTTTCGCTGTGCGAACTCTGCTGATAGAGCGTGCACGAGCTCTGGAATGTGGAAAGCTATTTCCGAGGCTTTGTGTCACTAATTGACTGATACTGTGTTTCTACCAGAGATCGATTGATCGTCCGGAGACGGCGTGGGGGCCATGATGGCTTTTGTCTCCCAGGCAGTATCCCAACAACAGGTTTCGGGCCCAGATTCACGGCACTTACAGGAGAGTAAGACTGCAAAAGACCGCGTTGAGGTATGTGGGAAAAGCGAAAGTAAGACTTTTCTGTTGCCGCGGCAGAGAGCCTTTGATGTCAGGCTGGCTTAATTGGCCTGGGAGTCGCGCCAGAGGCTTCGTGATTTATGAGCTGCCGAGATAAGAAGTTTTTGAAGGCATAAAAGCTCATGGCTCAAGTAAAAACCTGGAATGGAGTTTTTACAAGCCTCAGATGATGGCACTCAGTGCCCAAAGTTGAATGCCCACAATTATGAGGCCTGGGCAAGATGGTGTGAGAGTCTACTACGGCAGTTTGGAGTGTGACATACTGTGTGTGAAGCCCCTCCAGTTCCTCTGACAGATAGATGGAGGGCCCAAGATTCAAGGGCCATAGACGTAATTGTCTTGTCCGTCTCTCTGGAGGAAATTGCCACGCTAGCTGGCAACACAACAGCATGTCAGATGTGGAATGCTTTGAAAGTAGTCCATCTGCCGGTCATCCCAGCCCAGAGTTTGACTGCGTCGGAGGTCCTGGCTGTTTCCCAGAATGCGAGTGAATGCAGGGATGCAGAGGGCACCGGTTGCAAGCTGCAGGGGGAGCTGACTGTCACGTCCTCCCAGGCAGCATTCCAGCCTCCAGGGGGAGCCAAGGAGTCGGCAGCTGAGAGCTCTGTTTCTCATGGGAGCCAAGGTCATCCTCACAGATACCGGAAGGCCAGAAGTAAACAGAGACAGATGCCTGCAGAAGGCCCGAAGCAGAAGGGGGGTGGAAAGCCCACGCCAGTGGAAAACAAGTTTTTGTTTTCTGGCACAGCTTCACCAAAGGCTAAAGGCAAGTCTGATGGCCAGGAGCAGGGGGGCAAGCAGCAGCAGCCCAAGCCAGTGGAAAACAAGGTTCTGTTTGCTGGCACTGCGTCCCCAAAAGCCAAAGGAAGATTTATTGTTGACTCTGGTGCTAGCCGCCATTTGGCAAAAGACCGGCATCTCTCTATCTCCTTCACACCTCAAGATGGAGAGATCCACCAGGCTGATGGAAAGATGTTGCGAATTGCAGGAGTCGGGACTGTGAAACTGGCAAGTCTACACACTACCATCAGAGATGTACTTTATGTTCCAGGTTCTGCAGACAATTTGCTCAGTGTCCCACAGCTGACTGGGCGTGGCTTTGAGATTTCCTTCAAGAGGAGCGTCTGTGTCATCAGGAAAGGCAAAGAGGACATTTTGCATGCAAAGTTTATAGATGGTTTGTTCTGTATAACTTATGATGACAATGGTGCTGCTGTGTCTAATGTTGATTCTTCTTGTGTTGCACAAACTAACAAAGTTCTTCATGCAGGTTGTATTCACGAGGCACACAGAAGATTTGCTCACATGTCTTGGCAGGCGCTGGCCAAGATGCCTGAGTTGGTTCAGGGTTTGAACATCAAGCCCTGTAAGTTTCACATGAAATGTGTATCTTGTGCAGAGAACAAGGTGAAGGTTGCTCCAAAAGGCAAGGAGTCTAGCAGGCAGGCTTCCAAACCCTACCAGCTAGTCCACGCAGACCTGGTTGGTCCACTTGCGCCCTCTTTGGGTGGAGCAAGGTACTTCATGGTTCTAATTGATTCTTTTTCCAGGTACATTCATGTGTTTATACTCGAGCAGAAATCGCATGCGTTTCCTAAGTTAAAGGCATTCTGTGCTTGGTTGGAGAATGCTCACAGTAAACGTATCGGCTGTTTGTTTACTGATCGAGGCGGGGAGTTCACTTCTCAGCAGTTTGAAGCTTTCCTGACTGAGAAGGGAATCTAGCATGACCTCTCAACGCCTAGATCGCCATGACAGAATGGACTTACTGAGCGAGCAAACCAGACTTTGCTTCAAGGCCTAAAAACCTTGTTGCATGATGCCAATCTCCCTGAGAAGTTTTTGGGGGAGGCTCTGTCCACGTTTGTTTACACTTATAATCGCAGACTGTCATCACCTATTGGTTGTACTCCCTATGAGATGATGTTTGGTAAGAAACCTTATGTCAAGCACATGAGAATCTTTGGTTCTGACATGTGGGTACACACCCCACAGAGCAACAAGCTTGGGAAGCGTGGGGCACATGGTTTGTTCCTGGGGTACGAAAAAGGTTCATACAGGGTATGGATGACTGACTCTAAGTCCATTAAGTTCACAAAGAGTGTTGAGTACAATCCTAAGTGGGGGGGAAATGTGGGAATTTTCCAGAGTTACCCAGAGGAAGATGAAGGTGATGTGAAAAAAGCAGATGGTGTTGAGGTAGAAGAGGAAGCTGAGGATGATGATGATCAGAGTTCGGATTCCAGCTCAGTGGGCAGCGCTGCTGCTGGTGTCAGCGACAGTGATGACACAGCAGACTACAAGAGCGCAAAGGCCTCAGTCAGACCATCTGATGCATCTGACAATGAACTGGAAGAACCACTGTTCACCATTGGTCACTTTTCTCCTAAGAAGGAGGAGATGAGTCCAGAAGACTTGCGTCTAGTACGCAGGTCTGAAAGGGCGACAAAAGGCAAACCTCCAAAGAGATTTGCTGATGAGTTTGCTAAGACAGCAACTGCTGTTCTTAGTAGCTCAGAGAAGGTGTGGGAACCTTCAAGCTTCAAAGAAGTTCAGGAGTTAACCTCTAAAGATGCTGAGCCTTGGCTTAATGCCATGAAGGCTGAAGTTGATTCCTTGAATAGGAACCAAACTTGGGAGCTGGTACCAGTAGTCCCAGGAATGAGACTGGTTGGCAGCAAATGGGTCTTCAAGGCCAAGACAGACCAGAATGGCAAGGTTGTCAGACACAAAGCCAGATTGGTTGCCAGAGGTTTTTCACAGGTACCAGGACAGGATTACCACGAGACCTACTCACCCACCGTCGAGTATGAGAGCATTCGGCTGATGCTCAAGATTGCTGCAGAAGAGAAACTGCATGTTTCCCATCATGACATTAATACAGCTTTTTTGTACAGGGTTTTGGGGGAGGAGCTGTATATGCTTCCACCTGATGGAATGCAGATACAGAAGGGAATGGTCTGTAAACTTCGGAAATCCTTATATGGTCTCAAGCAGAGTGCCAGGTGTTGGAACACAAAACTCACTGAGACGTTGCTTTCTCTAGGTTTTAACCAGGGCAAAGCTGATCCATGTGTGTTTGTCAAGAAGGAGGGGCAAAACAAACTGTATTGTTTATGTTTTGTTGATGATCTTCTGATGTTTTGGAAGAATCAGGCTTTGTACCAAAGCACCCTAGCTCAGCTGAAGGAGCACTTTGACATGAAAGATCTTGGTGAGGTATCCAACTATCTTTCTCTGCAGGTGGAGAGGGACCAAGCAGGTAATTTTCTGGTACACCAAACACAGAAAATTGCTGATGTATTAACCAGGTTGAATTTGGTTGATGCAAACCCAGCAGACACACCGATGGTGACAGGTTACCAGGTAGATAGTACTGCTGAAGCGTTTTCTGACACTACGCTGTACAGATGCATTCTAGGCAAGCTGGATTTCATTGCTAGATGTTCAAGACCTGACATAGCTGTAAGCACTAACCTGCTTAGCAGACATGCAAACAATCCTACTGCTCAGGATTGGAAAGCTCTGAAGTGCATAGCCCGCTATTTGAAAGGGACTTTGCACTACAGGCTGAGGTTCACCAGTCAGAAGACTGGAGGTCTTGAAATCTTTGCAGATGCTAGTTTTGGAAGTGACACCACGGATGGTACAAGCACTTCTGGAGTATGCTACATGTACAACCACTGTCTGTTTGACTGGCTGTGCAAGAAGCAGACGACAGTGAGCCTAAGTTCCTGTGAAGCAGAACTCAATGCTCTGTCATTTTCACTCATGGATTGTGAATGGTTGATGCAACTGTTTAAGGACATCAGAGTTTCTGTGAAATGTCCTATACAAGTGTATCAAGACAATAGATCCTGTTTGGCTTTGCTAAACTCAGAGAGCTGCAAGCAAAGAACCAAGTACTTGCAGATTAAGTTACATCGTGCAAGAGAGTGTATTCAGAAAGGACTCATTCAGGTGTCCTACATGCCAGGAAATGAAATTCCTGCTGATCTGTTGTCTAAGGTTGTTAACAAAGAACAACTTAAGGTTTATGTACAGAGGTTGCAATTGGGTTGAACCACAGGTACTACAGGTTACACGGAAAGGGGGAGGATGTTAGGATATTTCCGTTCCACCTTAAGAAGGGAGCAGGTTGTTGTGTCACAGCCTGCGTATTTCCTGTTCACAGAAAGTTTATGTTTTGTACATTGCTTGCGTTTCTCTCTCTGTGTCTGAACACACAGGCAGGCAGTCATGTTTTTTCTTTGTTCTGACCAACGCTGAATAAACTTGTAAATATGCTCTCCTGAGTGCATCTTTCGCTGTGCGAACTCTGCTGATAGAGTGTGCACGAGCTCTGGAATGTGGAAAGCTATTTCCGAGGCTTTGTGTCACTAATTGACTGATACTGCGTTTCTACCAGAGATCGATTCATCGTCCAGAGACGGCGTGGGGGGCATGATGGCTTTTGTCTCCCTGGCAGTATCCCAACAGGGTATGCAGTACCGGCACCTCTTTTTTTGTTATTGTTGTTGTTAAAAAGTGCGACACTTACTGTAACAATTTCATGGTGAGTATTTCCACCTATTTTTCTAGAAAAAAAGCACTGGGTGGAAGGATATTTTATTTTGATGGATAGGTCTAGCTTTTAATCACAGTGAAAGCCACAGTGATTTGGGAGAGGGATATTGAAGTAATCAAAGATTCGCACTTCACATGGACTACCCTCCTCATCTTTGTTTTGGCTGAGCAAAAGCAGTGTGTGAGATACATGATCTCTGACCACGCACCACAATACAGATTTCTTGTTTTGGTACTTCTCCGTACAGCAAGAAAGAAGAGCCTGCAGTCCTCAGTCTAATTTCCTGTGGGTGAGAATAGCAGGTAAGGAGGGTGAGGGGCTGTGTGGAAAAGAATGCTGAAATGAATGGAGTGAGCAAAAAAAGAAAGGGGAAGACCCTTTGCAAGCAAGTAGCTCAGACTCCTGGCAAATCTCCAGGCATGGGGATGCATCGGGAGCCAGAAAGGTTGACAGAAAGAAAGGAGCCATGCTTTGTTCTGACTATCCACCACTAGCATGTGGCCCCCAACAGATTATTCCTGAGGGAATGCAGCCCTTGGCAGAGAAGTTCCCTATGCTTGCTGTACAGCGAGGTATTTGTGTGATGCTGTTGCTCTTCTCTCCTACCATAACCAGAAGCATTAAGAGTTAACTCCCCTGCTCTCATAGTCTAATAGTAAATCTCAAATACAGTGGAACCTCGTTTTATGTACTGTTCTCCTTGCTAATGCTGCAGGTTACAAGCTCCTCTAACCCGGAAGTAGATGCCCCTTGTAGTGAACTTTGCCCCAGGATGCAAGCAGAAGTCGTGTGCCGGCAGTGCGGCAGCAGCGGGAGACACCATTAGTGAAAGCGAACCTCATGTTATGAGCAGTTTCAGGTTACAAACGGACCTCCAGAACGAATTAAGTTCTTAACTGGAGGTACCACTGTAGTGTTGGAAAGGAGGTCTTTTAAATATCTGCTCTGCAGCTTAGTATCTGATGGCAATTCCTACTTTGGAATAATAAACTTGTACTAAATTCAGCTTAGTCTTCACTGCCAATACAGACTGGATGAATTTAATTGCAAGAGCAGGCTGTTGCTGTTCAGTCCTGTTTTGCTCACTGCTGGTCCCGAGCTGTTAAAATTTGAGTTGTTTTTGAAGTATGGCACTGGCAGACATTACTGTTAATTAGTCCAGCTTTCAACTGAACATTATTGTCAAGCACAAGTGACTTTAGTACAAGATACAGAGATTCCCATGACAGCATTTCCCCTCCTTAATTGACCTACATGGCAACAAAGGAAAATTAAAAGCCTCAGAAAATACCCACGAGGTGCTTCCCTTTTTGAAGAACACAATCAATGTTACATTAACAGAAACTTCTCTGAACATCTCCTGCTAGTCCCAAATAAGGTTTTGTTGCATAAAGCCAAGCTACGGGTAGCTGGCAAACAAGTGCAGAAAGTATGCTTAAAAAAAAAAAAAAAGTTTCACAATAAGAATCTGAGTTAGAGAAAGCAGGTTTCTGTATACAGAAGAATTTTTCTCTTCAGTATGTGATGAGGGTATCTTGCGCTGAATAAGAAAGCTTGACAGCACCATTTTTGCAGTCTCAGGCACCTAGCAAAATAGTGGGTGGTGCATCAGGGCTATGAGGGTACATCCCTGCCAAGGAAATTAGCAAACAAAAACATCAACTTTTCCTCCTAAATCACAAAGCCACACTCTTTCCAGCCTCCCCACCACCATTCATATCCAGTAGCAGATGGCAGGGGTGAGAGCTGGCACTGATATGACCTCTGTTTTTGATGAGAATGACAGTGATATTGAACGCATGATTGACAAGAAAAGGAAGGGCTTTCAGATCTGGCAAAGAGATAGAAACTGTGCCCCTAAGAAAAAAAACCCTATGCCAACACTAAGGCTGAGGTTCTGTGCTGGAAGAGAACACTACCAACATCTCCTTAACTGCAACTCCCCCATAGCTGCTGAGGTCCTCTCACAAATTCTGCAAAAACAAGTTAGAGATGAGCTTGCAGTATCTCCAAATCTGGGAGAATTGTGTACAGCTATTAACCAAATGAAAAACAACAAAGCCAGTGGACCTGATGGGATACCTGCCGAAATCTTCAAAGTGGGCGGAATTCAACTTACACAACAACTTCACAAGCTCATCGAAAAAATATGGGAAAGAGAAGAGATCCCAGCAGACTTTAGGGATGCCAGAATTACCAATCTCTTTTAAAAAAAGGTGACAGAACTGATTGTGGAAACTATCGAGGCATCTCACTATTAGCTGTGGCCACCAAGATTCTTGCAAGGATCTTAGCAAACCGTCTCTTAACAATATCCGAGGTGACCCTTCCTGAATCCCAAAATGGTTTTCAGCCTTCTAGGGGGACAGTGGAAATGATTTCCACCGCTTGACAGCTTCAAGAAAAATGCAGAGAGAAAAACCAACTCCTGTATATGGCATTTATTGACCTGACTAAGGCTTTCGACACTAAGTCGTAATGCCCTGTGGACTGTCCTTCTGAAAATTGGCTGCCCAGATAAATTTGTAAACAGCATTCGGCTCCTCCATGATAATATGACAGCAACAATCGCAGATAACAATGGTTCTCAAAGTGAACCATTCACAGTGGGATCAGGTGTTAAACAGGGTTGTGTTATTGCCCCAACTCTATTCATTATTTTCATTGCCATGATCCTACACTTTGTCGAAGGGAAACTCCCCACCGGAGTAGAAATCATATATCGAACAGATGGAAAGCTCTTCAATCTGAGAAGGCTGAAAGGAAAGAGTAAGGTTACCGTAACTTCCATCATAGAGCTTCAGTATGCTGATGACAACGTAGTGTGCGCACACTCAGAGGATGACCTCCAAACAATCCTAAATATCTTTGCAGAAGCTTACGAAAGCTTGGCCTATCACTCAACATCCAAAAACCAAAGTGCTGCACCAACAAGTACAAAATAACCCCTCTGCAGTGCCACAAATCCAACTCAATGGTGTAATGTTGGAAAATGTCAATCACTTCTTCTCCTACCTAGGCAGTTATCTTTCCACAAGGGCCAACATTGATGCCGAAATCCAGCAGCACCTGAGCTCTGTGGGTGCAGTACAGAGTGTTTGAGGACCAGGACATTCACAGGGAAACCAAAATGCTTGTTTACAAAGCTATTGTACTACCAACCTTATTATATGCTTGTGAAACATGGACCACTTATAAACGCCATCTCCAACTCCTCGAAAGATTCCATTAACGGTGTCTCTGAAAAATGTTACACATCACTTGGGAAGACAGGTGAACTAATATCAGTGTACTGGAAGAAGCAAAGATCACCAGTGTTGAAGGAATGATTCTTCAACATCAACTTCGTTGGACTCGTCATGTTGTGCAGATGCCTGATGATCATCTTCCAAAGCAACTACTCTATTCCAAACTTAAAAATGGAAAGTGTAATGCTGGTGGTCAACAAAAGAGGTTTAAAGACTGTCTCAAGGCAAATCTTTAAAAATGTAGTATAAATACTGACAACTGGGAAACACTGGCCTGTGAGTGCTCCAGTTGGAGAACAGCCTTTACCAAAGGTGTCATGGGCTTTGAAGACACTCAAACTCAGGACACAAGGGAGAAATGTGCTAAGAGGAAGACACACTTGACAAATCCGCACTGTGATCAACTCCCGCCTGGAAACCAGTGTCCCCACTGTGGATCCAGAATTGGCGTCTACAGTCACTTACAGACTCATTGTTAAAACCATGTTTATGGAAGACCATCTTACTCGGCTACGAGTGATCACCAAAGAAGAAGGCCTATCTACTTTCACTGCCGTGCTTTCAAACTGCTAGGTTGGCGGAAGCTGAGACAGAGCAACGGGAGCTCACTCCATTGCGGGGATGTGACACCAAGGCTAAGAACAATCAGAAAATGGAAGCTAGGGTTGAAAAATAGATCCAGTGTCTATACATGAAATGGGAAAGTGTGCAACAAGACACCAAAGTGTTTCAGACTCTCCCAACTTAATTTCCACTCAGCTATGCAACTGAACGAGCAAATTACAAAAGGGAATCAGATTGTTTCAATGGTTGGGAGAAGGGAGGAGACATTTTAAAATAGCCATTGGATAATGCTGCTGTATTCCTTAACCACATCATTTAAAAAGCCATTTAAAAGTAGCTTATTCTATGTTACCATTCTGCAACAAAACTAATGTGATGGAGGCCAGTGGCCAGTGGTTGAGGAGGCGAGACTACTAGTGCTCTTCTTAAAAGATTAAATTATTTATAAAAGCCACAGAAGCACACTTTTAAAAGCCTTTTCTTTTTTACCTCCAACTAGCATGTTACATTTTAAATTATACTTTGAAGGCTTACCGAAAAGCAACTGATTTACTATCAGCAACTGGTGAAAATCCAAACATTAGCTCACCAGACACTTCATGAATAATAACACTAATGTTGCACACTTCAAAATGCTTACAAGATTTGGGTTCTGTATGGTTTGCACAGGGAAAGCCAATCGAGTCAGATAGGAATGCTATTTCCCCCCAACATAGTCTACCTACAACCAGACAGTGAATTTAAATAGTTGGAAATTTTTGCTTCATATAATTGCAATTCTTCTTTACAGGAATTTTGGATATCTAATGTGATCTCTCCCCCAACCTCCTTTAGTTTTATTTTCCAAACTCCATTATTTCAGTAGGCTGGCAATGGTGCAGGCATTGGGATACACTGACAATATAGAATACAACTTACAATATAATATATAAGATAGCCTTCAACTTTCTCATATTTGGAATTTACCTTCAAACTCCAAATGCAACGTGGGACCCAAATATGTTTGGTTTTGGTCCTTCTTTATTTCTTCTTTTCTCCTTCTGCCTTTCTCTTTAAGTTTCTCCGTCTTTCTCAACCTCCTCCTTGGCCCTCATTTCATTTCATTCTTTCTTTAAAAAGATAATCCTAGAAGGAAGGGGAACTGGAAAATTGTTGCAATTATTGCTAGTGTGAACTACATTAGATGGAGTTTTAAAATACATTTTAAACCGTATATGGATATAATTTTCTTTTTCTTTTATGCAGATTAATGTGGAAATGGGATGGAGTGGACTTAGTAATATACACAAAATTGACACAGACCAGAAATAGGTAGATCTATCCATCCCAAACCCTAACCTGGAATAGGAGAGAAACTGAACCACCTAGTAGCTGGACAGCTGTTGCTTGTCATACTTCTGAAAATGATAAAACCATTGGTTAGAGGACTAAAGCAATCTCAGCCTAAACTCGAACTTTAAATTTGCCCAATACTTATTGATACTGGGCCTACCTAACTACAACTGAAATAAATGCAGCCCTCCCCATCTACCCCTCTTGTCTTCCCTTCCTCTGTCAAATTATGGATTATAACCCCTTCAAGGTAGGGACTTGTCCTCTTGTATGATGCGCGTTGATGAAGTCATAGTAGTGATAATGATAATGATGAGCATCAAGCTGCCTATGTGTGTTTGTGTTGCAGTAAAACTTTTTTTAAAAATGATATTTATTAAAGTTTCAAAAAAAATACAAAAAATACAGAATACAGAAAGAACAAGAATAAAGTTTTTTTTAAAAAAAATATAACCAAAGAAGTAAAAAATAAAAGAAAACATACCGAATAAAACAATTAAAAAGACATTAAATTTCCATAACCTATCTTCCTTATACTTATTTCCCCGGACCTCCTCATACCTCCCTTTTTTGTATTCCAGTTCAATTTGTTGATTCAGCAAATCCTTACCATTGAAATTACCCAGTTGCAAACCTTTTTCATATCTCTTAAAGCATTACAGCTAAAAACCCTTAGTTTCTATCCAACATCCTTCTAAGATTCCTTAATTTTACAATATTTCTGTAAATAGTCTTTAAATTTCTTCCAGTCTTCTTTCACCGTCTCTTCTCTCTGGTCTCGGATTCTGCCAGTCATTTCCGCCAGGTGTTGCAGTAAAACTTGGCCAGTATCTGATTTCATCACTCTGCATCTCCCAATCCCCACCACTGCTCTACGTGATTGGCAGTCATTGGTGGGGCATGGAAACACATAATTACAGTGATCTTTACACATACAGAGAATGTGTGGCAGGGTGTGTGTGGCGGAAATGGCATCATGATCACAGTCCAAAAATATATACACGTTTAGCTGAATATATGCTTAAAGCCCCATGGGAGATAAACAATGTTGTGTGAATGGACTTCCATTCATACCGCAAGATTTCTGCTTCCTCTCTTTCCCACTTCTGACACCATATTCCCCAGTTTATTTTCAAGGATCCCTCTGGAACCAATTTTGTCCTATTTTTGAATGAGTAGAACCAATTTTGAATGAGTAGAAGTCAATTTCATTGGAAGGCTGACACTGTTTGATGCATACGTGATGCATGGCGAAGGCTTTCTTTTCATGTGGCCCCTAATGAAATGGACAGAACCCACATACCCACATCTGTAATGTTGCACATATATATTTGTACATATTTACAGCTCTACCTATCTCCTACACTAAACATAGAGACTTTGGATTAGAGCCTGCTCCCCCAAACTGCTCCTCAACATGCACACACTAACACTGAACAGGGAGTACTTTTAACTTGAGGGTGTGGGTGGGAGGAATGAGATAGGTTTATTGTGATGTGTTGGTTTTGTTATTGTTTAATTTGGTGTTGTCAAGGCTGCCTCAGGTCTCAGCTCACAAAAGACCAACGCCAATCTCTTCTTATATACAAAAGTGTTTATTGCAGTTCATTGTTTGCTTCATATCCGAGGCGCGCAGCCCCACGTCTGTACGCTTAGACCGTTGAAGTCCCCTCTGAGTCAGTCCCTCCCCTGCACCAGTTTAAGAGCCTTGCGCTGCTCCACCTCTTTCTCTCTTTCCTTTTCCTCAGGGTCTTCCTGCCCGCTGGGGTTTCGCCCCTCCTGGATTCCCCTGACGCGCTATCCCCCGACTGCTCTTCCCCCCTCCTGCGGGCTTTAGGACCTGGCCCTTCCTCCGGGCTCCCTGTACTTCCGCGCGCCTCTACATTTGAACTTGGCGCGCGCGCCCAACCTCTAACTTTCCTTTTGACAGTTACACTACTCCCTTCACTACTCCCCTCCCCTTCCGGGAGGGTGGCTTGCTCCGACCTCCCTCCCTTCTCTGCTGCCGGAGCTGCTTCCCCTGATACACTGGAACCTCCACCCCCTTCGCTGCACTCTGGCGGGGAGGCTGGTCCTGACGCCCAGCTGCCACTTTGGGATCCCCCGCTGGCCCCCTGTTCCTGACACGTCCCCCCTGGGGCTCCCCTGGCCTTGACCACTGGCGCCCCCTTCTGGGAATCCTCTGATTCGCTGGAAAGACTCATGGAATCTCTTGAGTCATTGTCATCCTCTTCCTCGCTGTCCTGGGATTCATCCCCATCGCTCTCCATCTCCTCCCTACCCTGTGCCTCTGTCCCTGAACCCCTGACATCCATCCCCCCTCGAAGCCCCCCCTCCCCCATCCCGCTGCTCGGGCGCAGGTTCCGGGAGCTCCGTTGTAGCGGGGGTAGATGCTGGATACAGTTCGTCAACGTCGATCTCCTCTGCTTCCAGTTCAGTGTATGAGTGCTCGAAACCGGGGTCCTCCCCCAACACATCCAAACCCTTCCCTCCCCCTGTTACTTCAGGCGATGCTGCTTGCCAAGGCCCCCTTCGCCACCCCACTTCTGGTTGATCGTCCCACCAATAAGAGCGGTCCGTGTCCACCCCCGAGCACGATCCCCTTGGAGGGCTCGATTCCGGCGTGGTCTCCTCTGCGGAGGAGAACCCCGGAAGGTGCTGCCTGAAAGTGTGGGCGTAAAAGCCAGTCGTCAAAATACTCCGCTGGCATGGGCCTGTGTGGGAAGAGTGCATGGAACTCGTCTTTAAGAAGAGGTTCCTCCAGAGCATAATCTGGCACCCAACTGTTGGCGCTGGCCGGGGTACCTTCCCTGGCGAGGAGGTATTCCACTCCCTCCTCCCCCCATCTCGAGTCCAGAATTTCCGTGACCTCGTTGAGTGTCGGGGTCCTCGGTGACTTCCCCCCCCCTGGTGACTTTCTACGTGGGTCTGGTGCCGTCCCTGGCTCCTGAAATCTGTGTGGGGCCTTGTAGGGTGTAAGCACCGACCTATGAAAGACCGGGTGCATTCTGGAACCTTCTGGGAGGGTCAACCGAAAAGCTACGGGATTGATCCTGCCCTCAACTTGGTATGGCCCTAGCTGTTTGTGTCCTAGCTTCTTCTTAGCTAACGACTTGGCCGGCACCGCCTGGGCTGCTAACCATACCCAGTCCCCCACCTGGATGTCTTCTCCTGCCCTCCTGTGCCTGTCTGCCTGCACTTTGTAGGCGTGTTTAGCTAGTTCCAAGTGCCGTCGTAGCTCCTCGTGGACCTCCTGCAATTCTGCTGCTAAATGCTCAGCTCCCTGCGACTCCCCTGCGTCGTTGTCTCCAACGCCGGGAAGGTTCTGGGATGTCGCCCATTGTTGGCGAAGAACGGTGTCACCCCGTTGACGCGTGCTTCGTGTTGTTGTAGGCAAACTCGGCCATCGGTAAGTAGTCCACCCAAGTTGCAGGCTTTTGATTGGCGTAACATCGCAGGTACTGCTGCATGATGGCGTTGACCCTCTCCGCTTGGCCGTTGGTTTGCGGGTGTCTCGCCGACGCTAAGTTGATCTTGACATTCAGGATGCCCAGGAGCTTCTGCCAGAAACTGGAAATGAATTGGCGACCCCGGTCGGACAGGATGGACCGCGGTAAGCCGTGCACCCGGAACACGTGGTCTATGAACAGCTTGGCGGTCTGTTCCGCTGTTGCCACCTTCGCGCAAGGAATGAAGTGCGCCATCTTGGTGAACAGATCTACAACCACAAGCACCGCCGTCTTGCCCCGCGAACTGGGCAGATCAGTAACAAAGTCCAGCGCCACCCTATCCCACGGCTGTAGTGGCGTCTCCAGCGGTTCCAGCAATCCCGCTGGCTTCTTGTGCACTGGCTTGGACCTCTGACAAGTGTCACACCTGGCGACGTAATCCGCGACCTCTCCCCGCATCTGGGGCCACCAAAAGTCTCTGGCTACTAAGTCCGCCGTCTTTTCTTTGCCGAAGTGACCCGCGCTGGGTGCGTCGTGTAACTGCTGTAGAACCTTCGCGCGGAGATCGTCTCCCGGCACGTAGAGAGCACCTTTGCGGGTCAGCAGGCCGTCGCGTATCTGGAATTCGCCGTCCTTTGCTGTCCCTCTTCGCACCTCCTCCATCTTGGATTGTGCGAACGGATCCGTCTGTAGCGCGCGTCGTACCGCGTCCAGGTCCACGGCGGCGGAAGCGCATGCCCACGCTTGCGGTGCGAAAATGTGCCTGGCTGCCACTGGTGCCGCTTCCTCGAGATACTGCGGTTTCCTGGAGAGCGCATCCGCTATGACGTTGTTGTCTCCCGGGATATACTCTATCCTGAAATCGAAATCCGCAAAGAACTCCGCCCATCTTATGTGCCTCTGGCTCTGGAGCTTCGCCGTGCGCCAATACTCTAGGTTCTTGTGGTCCGTGCGGACCTGCACGGTGTGCTTGGCTCCGATGAGGAAGTGCCGCCACGCCTTGAAAGCCGCGTGGATGGCCAACAACTCCCTGTCCCAGATGGTGTAGTTCTGTTCCGACTTGCTGAGCTTCCGGGAATAGAAAGCGCAGGGCCTCCAGTTCCCTTGCGGATCTTCCTGCAAGAGGACGGCCCCCACTGCTCTGTCAGATGCGTCAGTCTCAACCCGCATGGGCCTGCCGGGATTCACGTGTAGCAGCTGTTCTTCGGACGCGAAGAGGCTTTTAAGTCTCCTGAAGGACTGCTCCGCCTGGTCCGTCCAGGTGAACTTTTTCTTCTTGGAACTGAGGGTGTCCGTGATAGCTGCCGTCTCTTTCGCGAAACCCCTGATGAACTTGCGGTAAAAGTTGGCGAAGCCGACGAACCTCTGGACCTCCTTCCGATTGCGCGGGCTATTCCAGTCCAACACCGCGCGGACTTTGGCGCTGTCCATGGCTAGTCCCTTGTCGGACAGCCGGTAGCCCAGGAAATCCACCTCCGTCACGTCGAACTGGCACTTCTCCAGTTTGGCGTAGAGTCTGTGCTCCCGTAGCCTCTGCAGGACCTCCTTTACGTCTCTCTCGTGAGTCTCCTGCGATTCTGAGAAGATCAGAATGTCGTCGAGGAAGCATACGCACTTCTTGTAGAGGAGTCCTGCTAGCACGTGGTGCATGAATGCTTGGAAACAGTGGGAGCCATTTTGGAGACCAAACGGCATAACTCTGTATTCATAGGTGCCCAGCGGCGTGAACATGGCCGTCTTCCACTCGTCACCTTCCCTCATGCGTATTAGATTGTATGCTCCGCGTAGATCCAACTTGGTGAAGATCCTCCCCTTCCTCACCGTCGCGAGCAGGTCGTCAATCTTGGGCATGGGGAAGGCCTTGGGCTTTGTCATCGAGTTTATGGCCCTATAGTCCACAATGAGCCGTTTTTGGGGCGTGTCCTTCTTCTTCACGAAAAACACAGGACTGCCCCCCACTGCCTTGGATTCTCGGATGAATCCCCGCTTCAAATTGTGATCTATGAACTCCCTGAGTTCCTGCATCTCATCTTCAGACATGGAATACAGCTTCGCAGTCGGCAGCGTCGCCCCTGGTAGGAGGTCAATTGCACAGTCGTAGGGCCTGTGGGGTGGTAATTGGTCAGCTTCCTTTTCGCAGAAGACCTCCAAAAACCCCTTGTACTTGTGGGGCACCGCCTGCACCATGCCGAGATGCAACTGCTGCCCCTCCTCCTGGCCCTCCTCCTCCTGGCCGGTCTGGATGCAATGTTGTGCGCAGTAGGACGAGCCAAAGGTGAGCTGCCGCTGGTACCACGCTAATGATGGGCTGTGTCTATCCAGCCAACTCATGCCTAACACTATAGGCGTGTCTGACAGGCGGGTGACGTTGAAACTGATGACCTCGCGATGATTCCCGATCTGCAGCACCATGGGTGGCGACTGCTGTACCACTTGCCCGCCCAGCAACTTCCTGCCATCTACGGTGACGACGTTCAGAGGCAGCGTGGCTGGTAGAAGCGCTATGCGATGCTGCTTGATGAACTGCTTCCCCACGAAGTCTGCGTTGCTCCCTGAGTCAATTGTAATGGGGACTTCCAGGGTGAGTCCATTAGGTAGCTGGAGAGTAGCAGTGAGCTGTACCACTGGCTTGGGTGGTAAGGGATCTGTAGGCTGCAAAAGCGCTGGGGACTGCTTTACTGACTCGCCTGGCTGTGCCCCAGCATTCCTGCTTCCAGCCAGGCATTGTCGTTTCCCTGAAACTGCTCCCCTGTAGCGCTGCTTCTGTTACTGTTGCTAAGGCTGCAGTGTGCTTCTGGAGCCTCTGGGGACACTCTTTAGCCATGTGCTGTGCACTGTCACAGATGTAACACTTCCTGGTCCCTCTAGGAGGCTTCGCCTTGACTGCTCCGGACGCTGAGGCTCCGGCAGCTGTCTGAGCCTTTGCACAACCTAGCTCCATTGGTTCCTCCCCCTCCCCTCAGCATAGGCGAGGGATTTGTACGTCCCAGGTCCCTGGGAAGAAAAGGAGGCGCTCTAGCTGGTGTGCGGACGTGACGCCCCTCCTCACTGTGCCAAGGGCGTTCTTCGTGGCGCACCCCTATCGTGAGTGCCCTCTGCACGACGTCTGCTAGGGTTTGAGGTCTGTCCCCCCTGGCCAGCTCATCTTTTACGGAGCCATGAAGCCCCTCCCAGAACAAGTCTCTCACTGCCAGGGAGTCCTTTTCCCAGCCCAGCACATTCAGCAATGCAAAAAAGCGAGAATGGTACTGACGCACTGTAGCCTTGCCCTGCCGCAATCCATGCATCTCCTGGCGCGCCACATCAACGTCAACGGTAGATTGGAAGCAAGCGTCCATGGCTTTGATAAATTCGTCAGAGTCCCTGCGGGCAAGACCATCTTCGCGCCACAAATTGCGTAACCAGGTTCTAGCTTCCCCATGCAAATGGGACACAATAAAGCCTACTTTCTCCTCCTCATCTTTGAAGTCTTTTCGAAGCAAATGCAGCGCGTATACGACGTCTGCTCTGAAATTGGGATAATGCTTCAGGTTCCCATCGAAGTGGGCTACTAAATTGCCCCCCCTCCGTCCGAGTCCGATTCCCTCTGATCTGGACCCCGGGAACCCCTCTTTGCACGCATGATCCCACCTGGCTTGCAGATCCTGGCATCGCGCTTCTGCTTCGGCAACTGTCTTCTGAGAGACCACTACCGCAGTGGAGAGCTCGGCGACTGCGTTTTGCAGGGACGCTATCTGCTCCTCAGTAGTCATGTCTGCCAAACTTCGTGAGCTTTGCAAAAAAAAATTTTGCGGTTTCTGTGGAGAGGGGACTTACTGTCAAGGCTGCCTCAGGTCTCAGCTCACAAAAGACCAACGCCAA